TAATATTAATCCCTAGTGTTCAAGAGTACTAAATTCAGCTTTCATAACAACATGGGGGCTAGCGCTCATGAAGGAGGTTTCTTGCCCATCAGAACCATTACCTGTATTGTCTCATGACCCTCGATAGCATTTTGGTAAATCCTCACTTACCTGCAGAGCTGAAGCTTTGGGACTATGGCCAGCATAGCTGAATTTATCAGAAGTAGACTGTAGAATTGTGATATTGAAATCTGTGAAGAGCCGTGGTTGATATACATTATGTGAACAGCTCTGGGTAGAGAGATGGGCTACCATTACATAGAATTAATAAGGAGAGAAACTGACCTGAAAAATTTGAATCTATAGCTCCCATCAGTGGCAGTGTGTGTTAACCAGAAACTGTTAAAAGAGCATTGATGTAAGAATAGCTGTGGCAGGTGAGAACAAGAGTCCATTTAATCAAATGTCATGTCTCCCAAGCATCCCTTAGTAAGCATCAGTGAATTACTCTTCTGTGAATGGTATGCCGAGTCTTTCCTTGAATACACATGAAATTCCACAATCTGCAAGTCAGCAAGATTCCCACAATTCAGACTCTTGCTCCTTTTTCTGTTTCAGACCTTAGTCCTGCACCTTATTCAAGGTCTATTCTGTGCAATTTTAAAATTTAGTTTGAAGACTAAAGATACTGATAAAGATAAGGCAGTTCAAGTGGCTTTTAATGGAAACAGTAGAGGTTTTTACTGGGTACAGAGAAAAAAATTTATATTGAAGACCACTTAGCATTGGAAAGTTGCACAAAGAGGCAGTTCAGTCTCCATCTCTGGAGGATGACCCAACAACACTTAACTGGATAAAGCTGTAATCATGTTACTGTGAACTCAGTACTGATCTCTGAACAGGAGGCTGGAATAGACAAAACCAGAGGCTCCTCCCAAGCTTGAATGATTCTTGGATCAGTCTAATCTATCTCTTTATGCCGGTTCTGAATATAATTATTATTATTTTATTTAGCAACTCTTTGCAAAGAAGACTTTTTGTACATTTGATCACCCTTGTCAACAAACTCTGAACCTCTCTGAAGTCTATATATTTCTTTTTGAAATGTGGATAGACCAGAAAAACATGCAGTGTTTCTAGATGTGCCTAAACAATTATTTATACAGTACCATGGTGTACTCAATTTTGTTTCCTATTCGTTTCCTAATAATGTCAGACATCTGCTTTTTTCTTTTCTTCTTTTTTAAACCGTTGCTGAGCAGTGAGGTTATGTTTCCATGCAGTAGTAACTCCACAGTCTCCTGAGTGGAAATGATAAGTGCAGAGATCTCAATTTGCATGTAAAGTTAAAAATTATTTTTTCCATGTGCATTACTTTGCCTTTTTCTACATGAAATTTCAGCTGCTGTTTTATTGTCTGGTCACTCAGTCCCGTGCTTGTTTTCTGCTCTTCATAGTTAGCTGTTATTTTTACTACTATGACCTAGTATCATCATCAAACTTTGTCATCTTATTGTGCAGTCATTTTTTATAGATTGTTTAGGACTTCATTGAGTAGCAAGGACATCAGTGCACATTCTAATGGAACTCCAGTAATAATATTTTTCCAACGCAGAGCCTGATCTGACCTGACTCCTATCTTCTCTTTCTTTTCCTTTAATTACTTATTTATGCAAAGACTTTCTTATTTTAACATTTTCCTAGCTTTCTCAAAAGCTTTGACAGAAAATTTTCTCCAAGTCCAAGCAGGTTATTAGCTAAACGGGAAATGTGTGATCTCCTTTATAGAATTTAATTAGGTTTGTGTGGTATGATTTGCCTTTAGAAAAACTTAAGTAGCTGGTTTCAATAATAAATTTCTTTAGGTAACAATTTTTATTCTAATTTCACTTTATATTGTATATGTAGACTTATTTAACAGGGGCTTTCACTTTTGACTGACATATGTTACTTTTTCCATTGTTTTACATTTCCTTGTATTTCTGCAATCTGAAAAAAAAAACCCATCAAGGAATAAAAGAAGATTAATAATTCAAAATTAGGACCTCAGTCTACAAAGAGTCCACTTCAGGGCTCTGTGCGCAGAGCACATACATGTATGAAACTCTGCAGGACTATGCTGTAAGAAGTCAAAAAAATATATTCCTTGCTCAGTGCTAGTAAAACCTTGAGAGTGAAACCTGTACACATACTAGTGTGATAATAGCACCACGGGAGAGCATCCTTTTCATTTCATTCCTGTTTATTTTTTTTTAATCAAAACTCCAATTCAGATTTAAAACTTTTTCAGACAATTTTCACTGCATATTCCTGTATATGTTGGAGGGAAAGTACTTCAACACTGGTCTTCAAAGTCTTTGTTTTGTTTTTATTATTCTTACAGTTGATTGTGACTGGATTTGGAACTTTTCACCAAGAATGATTTTCTGTGAATATAGTCACGGAAAAAAAGCAGTTTATGGAAATAATAACAACAGCATAATCTGTGTTAACAGAAGCTAATTTATCTTTTCTTTAAACAATAAATTTCTGATTTTTATTTTCTTATTATAAGTGTAGTACTTTGCCTATGTAGAGAATAATGCAAAACTAGATTCCAAGCACCTGGCGGTCTCCTGGTAGTAGGAATAAACGCCTTTGTTTACTATAAGCATGAATTCCTAAAATAATGCTTTTATACAAAATATGAAAATAGAATGTGTCTGTAGAGAATTGAGGTGCTGAAATAAGTTAGAATTGTTAGCACAATATGCATCATCCACACTGTGCTAAAGACATAGAACTTTTCCTTTGAATAAGGGGTTTATCTCCAGTGTCAAGTAAAAAAGTCAAGTTCTAGACTATTTAAAAAATGTGTGCTCATGGAAAACTGATTCTTTCCTCATGGAGCAAAACTGTCGTAAGCCTTATGAAATAAAAAAACAAATTAAACTCCTTGCTGAAAGGTTTGCAGCAGTCTGAAGCCTGTGCGTGGAATCTGTTATATATATAGATATAGATAGATAGATATATATATAATATAAATGCTCATAGTGTGGACTATCACAATGAAAATACCCTGATTTTTTAAATTATTCCAGTAAATCAGTGTAGCCATGAACAAGCAGAATTAATTCAGAATATCAAATCATAAGTATGCATAGATAGTTTGTCATACCTTTTTGGCTGGGAAGTCCTTTTTCTTGTGAATGTGATATGTCATATGCAAAGAATCTATGGCCCCTTCTAAATATTAGCAGGAAATCCCCTAAATGATTCCAAGTGTCTTATACCTATGTTGTTTATACTGCAGTGTATGACTGTAAACCAAACTTGTTAAAAATATTCCTGAAGTGTTCATGAACACTGACTGTATGCTGGCATTTTCTTCCTGTAGATAAATAATTGCAAGAAGATTTTAAAAGGCTTTGCTATTCTAATCTCTCACATATACTGTTCTTTCTGGGAAATAGATGGAGGGACTGAGAAACTTCTAAATGGAAATTTGTTTCTCATACCTTTGGCCTTCTGCCTTCAAAACACCAAGTGTTTGTTTTCTGAAAACAATTAATTTAGGATTAGTATTTGGTTAAAATTCTGACTAGATTGAAAAAAAGATGGATCTGTAGCCTTTGGCTTCAATAGGAGGGCATTAAATGATGTATATCATTCCATACAGTTACGTAATACATGTTGGGGTTCCGTGTCTTAGATTTTTTCTCCAGTGTAGAGACTTGGGAAATAATTAATTAGTTTACTGGGCTTATTCTTCAGTTATTCTTTGCAAATTGCTAACTAATTTCTCAGGTCCTACAGTTCAGTTTTGAAGATGTGAGTTACCTTTCCCCCTGAAGTGTCCCTGCATAATAATTTTGATGCTCTATGAGTGGAGAATGAAGCAAGAGTGAGAGTGATCTTCCTGGACAAGACCTGGGAAAGGCCAACCATGCAAAGTTGGTCCAGCCACCCACTCGCATTAGAACTTATCCCACCAGAAATGTATGTAGGGTATTAGTAACTGGGGACTCCTTGCTGAAGGGCACTGAAGCACCCATTTGTCATCCAGACAATATCTCTAGAGAAATTTGCTGTTTGCTGCTAGTTTGCATCCATGATGTCATGGAGACGCTGCCAATTAGAAAAAGCACGTGGAACTGGTAAAATGTGGGACTATCACCCGTTCCCACTATTCCAAGAATGATTGAATGATTCTGCATTGAGTCAACAGAAATATCAAGAATCTTTATGTCCCTTGGAACATGATAAAGGAATTCGGAGTATGGGTGTTGTTCTGCTCTACCCTCCCAGTCAGAGAAGGGAGTTAGAGAAAAAAGAGGTGAATTGAACAGATGGCTGGCTGGCTGCATAGCTGGTGCCATGCTTAAAGTCTGGGCTTATATGACCTTGGGCATACTGTTAAGAAACTGGGTCTGTTGACAACTGGCAGGGCTCAACTGACCAAGTGTGAGCAAGAGAGCTCTGGGCAATAAGCTGGCTGGACTTATCAACAGAGATTTAAACTAGATTTAGTGGGGGAAAGAGATGGTGTTCTAAGCATTCGAGAATGGCTAGGAGTTGCTGAGGCCTTAGGAAGCAACAAGGAAACCCCTGTGAACTGCCTTAAGGGAATTAGGGTGAGCTCTTCTAAAAAGGGGATGTGGTGGGCAGCTCAACTGAAGTGCCGCTGTATCAATGCATGCAGCATGGGAAGCAAACAGGAGGAGCTGGTGGTCATTTCCCAGATGGAAAATTGTGACCTGATTGCTGTTACAGAAACTTACTGGGATGAGTCACGCAACTGGAGTGCTGTAATTGGCACCTATAAAGTACTATATAAAGTTTAAAGGTACGGAAGGGGAGGTTGTGGAGTTCCCCTCTGTGCTAAAAATGGGATTGATTTCTCAAAGCTACCTTTGAAGAACAACAATGCGTAGGTTGAGAGCTTATGGGTGAAAATAACAGACCAAGCCATCTTTGTGGTTGGTGTCTGTTGCAGGCCCTTCGAAGAAGAGATTGACAAAGAGCTCTTTCTTCATCTGCAGGAAGCACCACACTCACAGGCCTGATCCTGATAGGGGACTTCATTAACCTGCACACCTCCTGGAAAAAACGGCACAGCAAACTACTAGCAGTCCAGGAAACTATTGGAGCTCGTTGAAGACAAATTTCCTCATACAGGTGATGGAGACCCTGACCAGAGAGGCCCTGCTGGACCTGTTGCTTACTAATGTGGAAGAATTTATTGGTGAGATCATGACTGGAGGTAGCCTGGGCTGCAGTGATCATGTCCTGGTGGAATTCTCAATCTTCAGGGGTACAGGATGGAAAAAAGTAGCCAGTACCCTAAACCTCAGAAACATCTAATTTGACTGTGTAGGGTCCTAATGACTGAGATCCCTAGGGAAACTTCCCTCAGAGGCAAACAAGCAAACAAGGGCTGGAAGATACTTAAAGTCAGTTTTCTTAGGGTGTAAATGCTCTCAATCCCAATGTGCAAGAAGCTGGGCAGGGGAGGCAGGAGGTCAGCTTGGCAAATTCAAAACCCCTTAGCCATACTAGAACACAAAACTAAAATGCATAGGCAGTACAGGCAGGGACACACATCCTGGGTAGGTTATAGGGGTATGGCTTGAAAAAGCAGAGAAGGGATCAGGAAAGCCAAGAAACAACTGGAGCTGAACTCAGATATGGATGTGAGAAATAACCTTCAGGTACATAGGACAGCAAAGGAAGATGAAAGAAACTGTACCTCCCCTCATGTGCAAAATGAGAGACCTGGCTATAGCCGACATGGAGAAGGCTGAAGAACTCAACAAATTTTTTGACTCAGTCTTCCCCAGCAAGTGCTCTAGCCACACTGCAGCACACAGCCAAATTCACAGAATCCAATGACAAGGACTTGAAGAATGCAAGAATCATATGAGAAGATCAGGTTCAAGATCATCTAAGGAACCCGAACGTGCACAGATCCATGGGACCTGAGGAGATACATCTGCACCTCCTGAGGGAACTGACAAAGTTACCAAGACATTCTCCATCATATTGGAAAGGGAAATATACCCCCCCATTTTTAAAAAGGCCAGTCAGTCTCACATCTGTGCCCTACAAGATCATGGAGCATATCCTTTTGGAAACTATGTTAAAGCATGTGGAGAACAGAGAGGTGACTGGTGACAGCCAACATGACTTCACTATAAGCAAAATTGTGCCTGACAAATGTGCTGACCTTCTATAATGGAGTTACAGCGTTGGCAGATAAAGGAAAAGCAACTGACATCATCTTCCTTGTGCAGAGCTTCTGATACTGTCCCACATAGCACCCTTATCTCTAAATTGGAGAGGCTTGGATTTGACAGGTGTGAATAGGGAATAAGTGAATAAGGAATTGGCTGGTTGGTCACACTGAAAGAGTTTCTGTCAATGGCCCTATGTCCAGGTAGAGACCAGTGATGAGTAGGTCCATCAGGGGCTGGTACTGCGATCACTACTATTTACATCTTGGTTGGCAACATGGATAGTGGTATTGAGTGTACCCTGAGCAAGTTTGCTGATGACACCAAGCTATGTACTTGTAATTTTTTTATGCTGAATCAGGAGCATAACTTATTAGTGACTAAATAAATGTCAAGATTTTTTCTTGTGATTTCTAGAGATTTTATTTCAGAAATGAAGAGAGAAAGAGTGAGATATTTATAAAACCCCCAACTTTCACTTTTAGCTTCATTAAAGTAATTATCAGTGGTCTGTAACTTTGCTTGGGATTATTTTTTTTGTATCTTACATGTCCTGGCTAATGCTAACTGTGTAATGCAATAGTGATGCTGAGATGCTTCCAGTGTGCAGCTGTTTATATGATTAGAAAAAACCTCAGTTGCCTAAAGCTGATTAAAAAAGAAGTTTACATCCTGAGTTCCAATTAACAGTATTGCCAGAAAATTAAAAGCCATCTGGTCTGCAAGGCCTGACTGGAATTCTTACATTTGAATTGCCTTATCATGCTGCACAAATTAATTTTTCATTTCTTTCAATTCCTTCCTGGAGAAAATTAAAATAATAAGAAAAAAGAAAGCTTGCCATCTATTTCAGAAGCCTTGTTTCAGCAGACACTGAAACAGCTTACCCTGAATTACAAAAGTGTCATTCTGTTTTCTTAAAGAATATAGTTACTTTCATGCCTATGCAGAAATGAGACAGATCTCCATGTCTGTGTTAGTAGCAAACATATACTTAGAACACATATTTCCAGCAAAAGTAACAAATGAAAAGATATTAAAGTTTTAGGATTTCCCATGCTCTATAGTCACCATTCCCACACTTCAAGTTACAAATGCAAATACTATGAACTGCTCCTGAATTGAACACCCGTTCAGTGTTTCTTCAGAAATATGACTCAGTATGTGATTCTGTATACTAAATAACATGAAAAAAATACTGTCTATTTTAAGCAAATTTGTAAGATGAATAAACATGAAATTTCATTAAGCTCTTGTTACTGCTCTTTTTTCCATTCTGTTTTCCCAAATTATTTATGTTAGGCCAGTTGCCAACATACTCCCAGTGGTAGGATTTTACTACACTCATTCAGGGATGGCTGTATCTTTCTTGTAGTGGGGGGCCGAGAACATGACACAGCACACCAGATGTGCTTTTGCTACAGCCAAGTCGATAGAAAGGATCACTTTCCTTGACAAAATGATAGCACACTTAATACTGCACAGCGTTTTCTTAGCCTGACCGTACTCTGATGAGGCTACATCCTATTCATTCCAGACTTCCGCTCTGGTCTGAGGCTCCCGGGTTTCCTGAAAAGCAGTTGTACCAGTAAAAAGCAAGGCAAAGAAAGAAAAAGGAGTAGTTTGGCAGTTTCCCTGTTTGTCATTAGGTCTCCTGAACCATTCAGCAGGACACCCACATTTTTGCTAGTCTTCGTTTCACTGCTGATGTACCTATAGAAGCTATTCCTGTTGCCCTACACATCCCTCACCAGATTCAACTAGACTTTGGTTTCCTAACCCTATCCCTGCATGCTCAGATAGTATCTCAATGTTTTACTTTCCCCTGCCTCCACTTCTTGAATGCTTCCTTTTAATATTTGAGCTTTCTTCATCCATGAAGCCCTCCTGCTACAGCTATGTGATTTCCCCTTTGCTGGTGTGCACTGTTCTTGAGCTTGGAGAAGGTGATCCTTGGGAATCAACCAGCTCTCCTCGATTCTTCTTCTTGCCAGGCCTGTATCCCATTCCTAGCAGATCCCATGACAGGCCAAAGTCTTCTCTCTGGAAGTCCAGGGCCACAGTCCTGCTATTTGTCTTTTCCCTCCTCTCATGATCCTGAACTCCACCTATATTATATAGCCTTTTCAGCTAAGACTGTCACCAACATTCAATTCCCCTACAGGTCTTCCTTGTTTTTTGAGTACCAGGTCCAGTTGAGACACTTTCCTTGTTGGTGTCATGATCACTTGTGTCACAAGTTGTCACCAAAGCACTCCAGAAACAGCATGCAACTGCTAGGTTTCATGTGCCTTGCTATGGTGTCCTTTCAGCAGATATCAGGGTGCTTCAGATATCCAAAGGAGGCCCATACCACAGCATTGCTGATGTTGGTCTGCCCACTAACTTCAACCCATAATCTCTCAACTTGCTCTTTCAAAGCTCTATGTTATTCTAGCTGCATTTCAGCCACCTTTGGAGAGGAAAAATAACTTAAAAATAATTTTCATATCACTGTTATAAAGACCTAATCAATTAAATGTTTTTTATGAAAGCTAATCATGGAATCGTAGAATACTTTGAGTTAGAAGGAACCTCCCAAGACTACCTCGTCCAAACCCCTGCAATAAGCAGGAACATCTTCAACCATATCAGGTTGATCAAAGCCACATCCTGTGCTGAGGACTCCAGAGTTGGACTCAGTACTCCAGGTGGGGTCTCAGAGTGAAGTAGAAAGGGAGAATCACCTCCCTCGACCTACTGGTCATATTTCTTTTGGTGCAGCCCAGCATATGGTTGGCTTTCTGGGTTGCAAGTACGCAATGTGAAGTCATACTAAGTTTTTCTTCCACTTTGAATCCTTTCACAGCTGGTATTGATACCAGGGAGTGCCCTGACCTAGGTGCAGGAATTTACACTTGGCCTTGTTGAACTTCATGAGGTTCACATGGACCCACTTCTCAAGCTTATCCAGGTCCTTCTAGATAGCATTTTTTCCATCAGGCGTGTCAACTGCACCACTCAGCTTGGTGTCATCTGCAGACTTGCTGAGGGTGCACTTGATCCCACTGGCTATGTCATTGACTAAGATATGAAACAGTACTGGTCCCATTAGGGACCACTCACCACTGATCTCCATCTGAACATTGAGCCGCTGTCTCCTACCTTCTAGATGTGACTATGCAACCAATTCCTCTATCACTGAACAGTCCCTCCATCAAATCCATATCTCTCCAATTTAGAAAAGGATGCCATAGGCGCTGTGTCAGAGGCCTTACAGAAATGCACAAAGAGGCATCCATAGCTCTTTTCTACTGATGTAGTCACTCCATCATAGGAGGCCACTAGGTTGGTCAGGCAAGACTTGCCCTTAGTGAAGCCATGCTGGCTTCACAAATCACTTTCCCATCCTCCATGTGTTTTAGCATCACTTCTAGGAGGATCTGTTCCGTGGTCTTCCCAGGCACAGAAGTAAGGCTGACAGGTTGGTAGTTCCCAGGATCCTCCTTTATACCCTTTAAAAAAAAAGGTGCAATGTTTCCCTTTTTCCAGTCACGAGGGACTTCACTGTACTGCCATGACGTTGCAAATATCATGGAGTGGCTTGGTAACTACATCAGCCAATTTCCTCAGGATGTTAGGATGCATCTTGTCAGGTTCCATAGACTTAAGTGTGTTAAGGATTCTCAGGTGGTCATGAACCTGATCTTGTCTTATAAGGGGAGGAACTTTGCTTCCCCAGTCACAGGCTTGCAGTCCATACACTCAAGAGGTGTAGGAAGAGAGGTTGATGGAGGGACTGAGGCAAAATTGCTGAGTACCTCAGCCTTCTCCTCATTCATTGTTATGGGTTTAACGGTCATGTTCATCACTGAGGATAAACTTTGATCTGTCTTTTCTGGCTGATTTTCCTAAAGAAGCCCTTCTTATTCTTTCACTTGCCAAGTTCAACTCCAGTTTCACTTTGTTCTTCTTGCCTTCATCCCTACACATCCAGACAGTGTCTCTATACTCTTCCCAGGACATCTGTCTCTGCTTCCTCTTCCTGTGAATTCTTGCCTTCTAGTTTGACCACCAGGTGTCAACTCATCTATGTCTATCTCTCACTTTCCTTTCCTGATTTCTTACACCTGGAGATTGAGAGCTCTTCTGCTCTGTGGAAAGCGTCCTTAAAGATCTACCAGTTCTGTTCTGTTCCCTTGTCCCTCAGGGCAATTTCGCAGGGACTTCTACTGACCAACTCGTCAAACAGCTTGAATTTGCCTTCCTAAAATTCACGGTCCTGACTTAACTCTTCACCTCACCCATATCCCTCAGGATTGTAAGCTCCACGAGTGCATGATCACTGCAGCCCAGGTTGCCTGGATCAGCTGACTTCAAGGGAATATATTAACACACTTGCATTGGTGACCATAAGGTCCACTATCACATACCCTTTGGTATGACTGCCTATTACATGGATTAAGAAATTATCAGGAGTCTCTTGGATAGCCTACACTCACCATGATACTTTCCCAGCAACTGAAGGAAGGCTAAACAAACGTAAAACTTGTTTCATATCAAGTATCCATAACATTTCCCTGGGAAGAAGTTAAGTTTAGTATTCAAATATTTTGGATGCCCTTTTTTCCCCTTTCTGCTTCAGATAGATGCAAATATTGTGTTTTGAAAAGAGGAACGTCTCGGGAATCCCGATGATCCTAGACAATGATGCTAAAGCTTTTGTGGTGTCAAGTTTTTTGAAAGACTGTTTGTCTGGACATGGTTTTTAATTAATACATTTGCAGTAGTTAATGGTGAAAATTATGATGGGGCTCATGAAATATACCAGTGGAATGAACCTGTATGTTGTGTTTTGTGTTTGTCTTCAAAACACGGTATTAAATATTTTTGATAATATTCTTTGGTTTACCATGCTCTTTGATAGTAAGTGACCAAATTTTGTCTGTTTTTGCCAAAACATGAGAAGATCTTTCAGCAGTAATTAGGGTTAATGTATAAAGTATCTTTAAAACCAGCTGAAAACCATCATCTAAGTATAGTTTTTACATGTACAAAAAAAAGAATTTTTGCCATAAGTGGTATTTTTAGTGCACCTAGTATATTAAATGCATAGCATTACTTACTCATTAAAATATTTATATCACTTACTGATTGAAGTATTTTTATCTCCCTAATTTGTTTGGGTTGCATCAGAGTACTTTCTTGTTTGAGGCTATGTTCAGAGTTGAAGCCTTTTGTCAGATATATGTGAAAAAAAAAAAATAGAAGCAAGAGCATTAGTGTGTTGATAATTGCATTAGATCAATGATTAGCACAATTCTGACTCTTTTCTCTGCCTGAAATTGTAGGATAAATCCTGTACTCAATCCATCTTCTCAAATGATATAGTAATTGGTGTGACAGAATTACATTTATTTGCCTCTGAGAAATAAATAAATAATTCTAAAAATCAGATGAACAACCCTTCCCCCCCCCCCCCCCCCGAGTTTTCTACTGTAAGTAAAATTAAAGCAAATTTGTATAACCAAACTATACTACATGGATCAGAATCTAAATTTCATCAGTTGCTAACACTTGCTCATTTGAAGAGAGTAACAGAAGCTAATTCAATTGTTGTCATAGCCATGGAAATGTGTCCAAGTATATTCTGGACCCTTCACTGGAGTTGAAGGTGTTTTCTGAAGAAACAAAAAGTATGGCTTCTTTGGAGCTGTTTTAACTGGGGAAGAGGTAGGGGGTGGGAGGAAGGGAGTTAGAGGGGAAAGAATTAAAAAAAAAAGTAGAGCCCCCAAGGCTGCAAAATCAATGTGAATACTGGAGAATGTGAAATCTTTCTGCTTTTCCCATCAAATAGGAATTGTGAATGGATGGGTGTTCTCTAGTCTACCAGTTTGGAGAGAGGTCTTCCTCCATGGATGTGCTTTAGAAAGGGAAGCATACGTTTGTTGATTTTATCAAGTGTGTTGTGCAGCTTCAGGTGGTACTGATTCTTTTTGAAATAATATATAAGGTTTTGCCTACCTCAGTTGACTTCAGCAGAATAACTCTAGAGATTAATTTGGCCTACCTAA